GGCTGGCCGATGGGACGTCAGGCTCTTACTGGCCAGCCGCAGAGGGCCGCTGTGTACAGGCAGTGCCCTGGGACCCCCCCCCACCGCGGCTCGCCCTCGGGCCGGGCAGGGAGGGCTCCCGCGATGTCGGGGTTCGGGGGCGGGGTGAGGTGTCACCACGGGGAAGCAGGGCGGAGGAGCGGTGTGGGCGGTGTCCGGCCGGCTGGGCGGGGCTGGCCACCTCCGGAGCGCTGCGCGCTGCCCGCAGGTCGGATGCCTCGCTGTACTGCGACGACGTGGACATCCGCTTCAGCAAGACCATGAACTCCTGCAAGGTGCTGCAGATCCGCTACGCCAGCGTGGAGCGGCTGCTGGAGCGGCTGACCGACCTGCGCTTCCTGAGCATCGACTTCCTCAACACCTTCCTGCACTCCTACCGCGTCTTCACCTCGGCCGGCGTCGTGCTGGACAAGCTCGTGGCCATCTACCGCCGCCCCATCAGCGCCATCCCCGCCAGGTGGGCCCCGCCCGCCGCGGGGAGCCGGCTCGCCCCAGAAGCCACGAGGGAGGCGCTGCCCGTGGGGCTCCAGAGAAGGGCTCCTGCACCCGGGGTGCGGCAGAGGAGGGGGCCCCCAGCTCCCCCCGGGGTGGGCAGCTGGGCCCAGGGAGACTGGAGTACCAGGCCGGCCCCTGAGGCTGGGGCAGAGGGGGATCTCGTCAGGCCACTGAGCCCCCTGGCCGGGCCAGGATCCGGGAAGATGTGGCCCTGGCTGGGGCTCCTCTCCTGTCCCCCCACTCCCACCTCCAGCCCTGGCCAAACTTCAGCCTGGAGCGGGTACCGGGAGCCCAGGGTCTAGGGCAGCCCAGCCAGCACCACGTGGTCACTGCAGACCGGCCGGGGCCAGAGCTTAGGCCAGGACTCGCTCAGCGGCCAAGTGATGGAGCTTTGCCAGCGGGAGTGCCCAGAATCTTAGTGTGGGTCCCAGTGGGGAGACTGGAGCAGGACACGTGCAGGGGACACTGCTGCCCCCACACATGGGACAGCGAGGCGGCGGGTGGTGGCAGGCGTGGGCGGCCCCACCCCAGGCTGCCAGCAGAGGTCAGCTGCAGGCTGGACCCAGGCCCCAAGGCCCCTGCAGGAACTGGAGGGGGGGCCAGTGCATCAGGCCACCGTCTCTACTCACACCCAGCCCTGCAGGCGCCTGCTCAGCTGCCCAGAGCTCAGCCACCACCTGCCCCAAGCTCCCGGCCTCGGGCCAGAGTCCCAGCGCAGGGTTGTCTGGGCCGGAACCCAGGCGCAGGGGTCAGACGGCCCTGCTCGGCCTGTCCACCGCCGCGGCCTCCGCTGAGCGTCCAGAGCCTCTGCCGCGGGTTGGGCAAGGCGGCGGGGCCCTCTGAGCCCGAGCCCTCCGCAGCACGTGGATCCTGGCCTGTGGCCAGTGCCCGCACCCCCATGGGGCAGCGGGGGCCTTCCGGGGGCTGACCGTGCGCCCCCCACCAGGTCGCTGGAGCTCTTGTTTGCCAGCGGCCAGAACAACAAGCTCCTGTACGGGGACCCCCCCAAGTCCCCGCGTGCCACGCGCAAGTTCTCCTCGCCGCCACCCCTGTCCCTCGCCAAGACGTCCTCCCCCAGCCGCCGGCGGAAGCTCTCGCTCAACATCCCCATCATCACCGGCGGGAAGGCTCTGGACCTGGCGGCCCTGGGCTGCAGCCCCAACGGCTACACCGGCGTGTACTCGGCCATGTCGCCCTTCAACAAGGCCGCGCTGGACCCCGGGAAGCTGTACGTGTCCAGCAGCCTCAGCAGCAAGGTTCCTGACGAGGGCGACGCGGCTGCTGAGAAGCCGG